TAGTTGTCATGACAACTAACTACGTCATCCCCCCTCGCCATACGAATGGCAGTTGTCATAAAAAATGAACCATTTCTCTAGGGTTGAGAATAACATCGTTGCCATTGGACAATGAACTAAATCTCTAATGTTGACGATAACAGGGTTGCCATTGACAACGAAAAATATCTTCTCTAATAGTTGCCGATAACAGTGGTTGTCACTGACGGCGGTGAACCGGTAGGTTGTGGTCTGAGTGGGGTGTGAGCGCGGGGTGGGGAGTGGGGCGGCATGGTCTGACCCGCTGAACCGCCACCGACCGACCCACACCCCCACTATTTCTCTAATTTGATACAGTACACAGAGTTGTCCATTGACAACAAACTATTTCTTGAAATGATTGACGCGCATAACAACAGTTGCCATTAGACAACAAGACCAGTTCTATTCAATGTTGACTATAACCCGGTTGCTATGCGAGAAAACAACACATATTTCTCATAACATTAGACCGATAACACGACGTTGCCATGGAGACAACAGACATAACTTACTCTACGGGTTGAGCACGCACGATGATAGCCCGGCGCCAAGCGCGACGATACCCCTGTGACTGTTGTTAGCCTGGCAACCGTGTTATTCTCAACCCTAGAGAAATGGTTCATTTTTTATGACAACTGCCATTCGTATGGCGAGGGGGGATGACGTAGTTAGTTGTCATGACAACTACCGTGTCCTCGTCGTGCCGTCCGTGTCTCTGCTGCACTGCAGCGTTCCCTCTGCTCCCTGTTGATGTGTTGTGTCAGTGTGGCACTCAGTACTGCGTGCACGTACGAATGAAATGATGCGTTAGTTCAGCTCAGATCTGTAGTTCTCCTTCTGTGTTGCTTTGTTTTTGTTGCTTGTTGCTTGAGATCTGCGTTAGGATGGCTACTCAGTACTCGGGGCAACTATCCCCGTTCGTTTGTACCCCCCCCCCCTACATGTCAACTTTCAAATGCCAAGGGGTGTGAAATTCCAGGTGTAATTTTTAACGTTTAATATAGTTAAATGAACTAGGCATTATTTTCCTAAAATTGCTCCTCATCATGAGCGAAAACCGAGACACTTACAGTTGAGCGAAGCTGTGCTTGCTGAAAAATAGCCATGGTCGTACGAACTTCAAAATTATTCACACAAGTCTTCCTCTGTAGCCGTTCCAGTACAGTGTGGGTTTGTTTTAATCTATACATAATTTTATATTACACTGCCTACTTGTTACTAATTCTTAGCACAGCACATACTTGTTATTCTATGGAATACCTTAGTACAGTACATGCTATTCTATGTAACGTCTTAGTACAATATATTTTCCAGAAAGTCTATATTGTCGATTGTCTCCACTTTACAGGCACCAACATCACACCGTCTGCTCTCCCAACAGTGTTTCGGTGGGAGGGCGGCGGAAAGCAGGTGTTCATATCAGGAACATTCAACAACTGGGCAACAAAAATACAGATGGTGAAAAGGTACATTATTAGTTTATCACTCGTATGCTTTCCATTATTTATTTCATATGATGAGTAAGAACTGTTGAGACTTCGTAAAGAAACGCAGTGCAGCACAGAGTAGTTTAGTCTTTCGAGTGTAGTAAATTATGTGAAGGCATGTCTTGAGATCACGTTAAATAGTTAGAAGCATAATGATGTCGCAAGCTAAGATTTGGCTTCTTCCCCTTACTTGTTGACTCATTGCTCAGAGAGAGAGATTGAGAGAAGTCTGCAGAGGTGTATGATAGAGACTAGACAGTGATATTCCCGACATGATAGGAGACCGTGAATTCACTGTGCAGATGGTCTTGGAAATAAGTCAGAAAACCCAACCAGGCCTAATTTTGTCAATTTTGATTTCTGCTCTATAACACCATATAAAATATATAAAAATGAACCAGTCCTTCTCAAAAGTTACCAGCCCTGGACTAGTGGGTGTGCTGCTATTTCTAACACTGGCAGATAGTATAACGTTTAATTATCAGAACTGCTAATTTGGTTTATTAAAATTCCTGGAGGTTTTGTATATGGTGCAGCGTCTTGGTGTCAGTGTAAGGTGGTGTCGCTGAAGGAAAGCCAGATAATTCAACACAGACTAGTGTTTGAAAAGCACTTGCCCAACATTTGTTATCAATATGTAATTCTAAATAATTCCAAATTTCCAGGAAATTTTTTTAGAAACTATCCGTGAATCTGTTAATTTAGTGGCAATCTCTCGGAGACCTCAGAAAATATCCTATATTTTTCGTAAAATATCGTAATATATATTTTTCATGTGCATTGTATCATCACTTCTGCGAGCATCGCAGGTGTGGTTTTATGATAATTGACATACCGCAAGAATATTATATTGATAAAAATGTTGGGCATATATTTATGCAAATAATTATGTTCTATGTAATAACTTGGTATGTTCACCCAGATTCTGCTTGAATAGTGTAAAGTTGCCATTGCTAATCTGTTGTATGTTGTAATATTTTATGGATTAGGCCAAAACAAAATATAGGTGTGGTTACCGTTTCATGCCAGAAAAAAATAGGGTAGGTAGGTAGGGAAAACATTTTATTTTATTGAAACATTTTATTTACGAACCATGTCCGAAGGATGTGGGTTGTGCCTTTTGAAGCAGGAACTGTCCAATTCATTTTTTTTTTTAATTTAAAATATTTTTTTTTACTTTAAAGAAAATTGACAATAAAATGTTTAGTGTCGCTGGGAATAAATAGGGACGGTCGGGAAACGGTAACCACACCTATATTTTGTTTTGGCCTTACTGAGTAAGAAAGCAAAGAGTATATATACTACCGTATCATCCCCTTCATTCTTAGATGTACACTTACAGCTGAATTTCTCTTTCAGCTTGTTGACGGGAAGATGTGAATTATGCCGCATTTGTGCATGCGCTGTGCAAGTGTGTGTGTGTGTGTGTGTGTGCGTGCGTGCGTGCGTGCGTGCATGCGTTGTGCGTGTGTGTACGTGAGAGTGTGCGTGCATGCGAGCGTGCACGCGTTGTACGTGTGTGTACGTGAGAGTGTGCGTGCATGCGAGCG